AGGGGTAAGTATGAATGGTTAGATGTAACAAAGCATCTACAGTGTACTGGGAGATTTCAGTAACTACATTGTTCCATTTTCCCTAAAGAAAATGTATAATTAGTGCAAGATACCAATTAAATCTACTAGATATCTGTAAAACAAAGGGATCAGTTTTATGAACATTAATTTTGCAAACTGTCATGTGAAATGACACTTTTACTTCAGTTGTAGCGTCATCTAATTGTTATGTGTAGCACTACCCCCATAGGAGTCCGCTTGTATCTTGCCCAGGCTTTCCCCTAGCTTAGATCTTTACCCGCAGCCAAGCACACCGTTCATTACTCCATTGATCAGTATAGGGGTTGTAGTTTTTTTGTTTTTATTTTGTTTTAGAACTGGGATAGAGAAGTATGCACACTTGAGGACAGCTTTCTCTAAGTAGATCTGGGTAACAAACTGTACAAAGAATGGAGCAAAGTCCCTCTGTGGATATGCAGAACTTAGTGGACAGCTGCTCTTCTGGACACCATCTGGTGCCCCCTCTAGCTTACTCCAACAGCTGACTATATAGATCCTGAGGGGGTTAAGCACAAGTCCCAGCATCCCTGTAGAACAGTTTGTGATCACAAGGCCCTTGCTACAGGTCACCTTCCTCCATGATATCAGATAGGATCTGTAGACATCCCCCTCAGTCAGCTCTCAGAAGTACTCTTGGTTTCAGCATTCTGGTCCACGGGTCACCTACCTGAGGCCTCCTTGTAGCATGAGCCAGGGAGACAGACTCCTCCCCTGGGTGGATCTCCTATCTCAGTGGAAGAGGAAGAAGAACCCAGATCACATGTGTTTACTGAATATAAATATTAGTGTCCAGCATGCTCAGGGGCCCACTCCCTGTAATTGGCTGGAACTGCATCCATATTCATGCTGATGATCTCCATGGGTCACATCCAGAATCTTCCAAGGTCTCCTAGGTGCACAGCAGCAGCACTGTGAGCCACACAGGATATTTTCACTAAACAATTGTAGCTTTTTTGTTAAGCGGAAAAGCTGCTATGTTTTGCCTATCAGTCCCCTGTTAAGCAGAAGACCACACTATGCTAAACTAGACTATATACATCCTAGAAACCTACCTAGGAGGGTGCTACATATGTTATTTAAAGAAATAACTATGAAGTTCAGAGGTTGCAAAATTACATGTCTACACAACATAGTAAATACTAGGCAAAAGAAAAAAGAGATGAAAAGGCATATAATCATCCCGCCAGTTGAGATGTATATAAGCATCCCACTAGTCCTCAAAGGCACAATACCGATGGACTAATGTATGAAAACCAGCACAAAGACCAGGGTGTCAGTGAGAGCCCAGGGTCCCAATCTAACGACTGGGACCCGGGACTCCTGATTCTGGGACACATGACCGCTGTGATAGCCTCTGATTGGCTGTCCCAGTGATCAGTCACTGTGAAGCCTGCCCCCCTTGGCTTTTTTTCTCTCTGAATGGAGGAGAGAGATACATTGTATCTCTCTTTCTCCTTGCATGGAGAAAAAAAACTGTTTGTAAAAAAGAAGATAAATAAATATGAAAAAATAAATAAAAAATACCTATATCAAGGTTTAATCTAGTTCAGTGCCAGAGTTAGTGTTTGGGTCATGGTCAGGGTCAAAGTCAAGGTCAAAGGTCAGTTAGTGTTAGTGTGTTTTAGGTAAAAAAACAAAAAACAAAATGCACACTATTGTTTCCAGGCTGTACTATGGGTACAAACAACAAATAACATACACATATATGGTATCGCTGCGATCCTCAAGAGCTGGAGAATTTATTTTGGGTTGTTCATTGGTGGTAGGTTAAGGTAGTAACAAGAAACACACAGCTACATTTAAAAAAAATGAGGGTTTTTTTGTACTCTTTTGGGCCAGTTTTCCTTTGATCATAAAAAAAAATCAGGAGATATCCATTACTATTTACCACCAAATGAAAGCCCAATTTGTCCTGAAAAAAACAAGATATAATCCATCTGAATGTACAAAATAGTTGTGATGATATGTACGGTTTTACTAACACATGTCAACATTGTAAAATTTTACTTAGGCTTTAAGATTTGATTTACCTTTAGTCATGAAGGGGTTAATCATCATTACATTCCATTTTAAGGACACGCACAGAGTTCCTCTTTGCAGATACACCTCATTCCCTTTCACTTGTACCCATGTACCACAGTTTCTGAAATACTTTTCCTCTCACTTTCCTCTAGTTAATGTCAATGCAATTGCATTGTCATTCACACACGGAATCCTAATGGGCATCAGAGCTCACAGTAGAGCATAGCAGAAATGATCCCCTGTGCCTTGGTGTCTGCTAGTGGGCTTACCTGTGCTATGCTAATGATAGCTCCTCTTGTCTAAAGATGCAAATCAAGCCAGTCATCCATGCAGGAATGCATGTACAAGTGCCAGGAGATGAGCAACATCAGCAAGACATGGTTTGTTATCTCTGATAATGAGCCCTTAGAATCTGCAGATGGACCAACATCTTTGTTTTGCCTTTTTTTTTTTAAATCACCAGTGCTTATCAGTCAATCAGCATTATAAAGAATCCAGCTCACTATACCCCTCCAATCCACTCCAGTCTCTTCCCTGCATCCAGCTGTCTGCACCATGTAGATGGTTAACCCTAACAGACACTGTGCAAGTCAACTGGAGATGTAATGAAAGTCCTGAGCTAGATCCTAGCTTTGCCTGAGACAAGAAAACATGAGTTAAATAACATAAAATATACAAATATTTCAAGTAGTAAACAATTACTGAACAGATAAAGCAAACAGCCAAACTGTAAGAAGAACCTTGTCCTTGTTCCCAACTGGATGGGTCAGGCCCTGGTATCAGGAAATATTACGGTTGATTTGCTAAAACTGGAGAGTGCAAAATCTGGTCCATGGTAGCCAATCAGCTTCTAACTTCAGTTTGTGCTAATCCAATTATTAGACTTGTGATGACACCCACCCCCCTCACCCACACAGCCATTCATTGGAAAGATCAGTGTACTGCTGTTTCTACCCTCACCTTTCTATGCAGCTGAAAGCCAAGGGTATTATCACTGATAAAAAAGGGAAAAATTATATGTATAATGTTTTTTTAAGCTTAGACAAAAAAAACTGGAAGCTGATTGGTTTCTATGCAGAGCTACACCAGATTTTGCATCCTCCAGTTTTAGTAAATCAACCCCATCGTGTATTATAGGATTTTTCATGGACCTCTGCAAAGTTCAGAATTAGATTTTACTTGACAGAAATCAAACCAGCAAATATACATTTTTTAACAAAACAATGAAGTGGTTTTATGGACCTGTTGTCCAAGGTGGAGTAATACAGTACTAGTGCTCCTCGAGGTTGGCTCACATTCTACCTTAATAATCACCAGATGCCTGTCCAGCTCATAATATTCCACAGTACAAAAAATATATAATCCAATGTAAACATGTGAATATTTGTTGTATCACAAATCACTACAGAAAAAACTGGAATACAGATCCCTCTAATGAATTTCACACTAAACAGCACATAGTCATACAGTAGTGTCCGAACTATTCAGCTTGCTTTTTATATTACTTCACTTCTCCTTCCCACTAATTAATTAAAGAATATGTAAACTCAAAGTTTTATATTGCTGATACAGTATGCAGAGGCGTCCCTAGGGTTGGTGTCACCTGGTGTGGTAACACTTGGTGATACCCCCTCCAACAATCCCCATAGAATGGATCGGATCTGCGGATTGAGCATAATGGATTGGACTCCGATCTATTATGCTCAATCCGCTGATCCGATCCATCCTGCGGGGATCGTCGGCTTTCTTTACAACTTACCTTTTCTTGGAGCGGGTCCGGTGTCACCCTGTATAGGTTGCATGCCGACGATCCCCGCAGGATACCACAAAAAAAACATGCGATAAGCTGTTAAGTCCAATTCACAAACACAACAGAAAGTAAAAAAAGATGCAATATTTATCACCAGGGTTTTGCTGGCGGTATCACATGCAGTATTTTTTCAGATGCAGCAAGTGGGGCCCCCCCAACCCCTACGGGACGGGTATTAAAAATATTTTTAAAAATTTGGCATGGGGTTACCCCCCACATCCATACCAGACCCAAAATCCCTTAGGATTGTGAGGGGACTCGCACACCATTTTTTTTTTTCATTGCACTGTGGGGTTCCCCCAAAATCCATTCCAGACCAGAGAGCCATTTTTTTTTATTTTTGTGTGGGGCTCCCCCAAAATCGATACCAAACCTAAGGGCCATTTTTTTTATTTTGGTGTGGAGTTCCCCCAAAATCCATACCAGACCAAAGGCCCATTTGTTAAAATTTTGGTGTGGGGTTTTCCTTAAAATCCATACCAGAAACAAAGGGCCTGGTATGGAGGGGGGGCAACCCCCAACACTGTTTTTTTCATAATTTGTAATTGCTGGCATGTTTTGCTGACAGCTGATGAGTTATCAGTTGTTAAGGACACCGCAGCTGGCTTCCTTAACCTCCCTAGCGGTCTGATTATGTCCATATTTCTGTGCTCAAAGCATTGTAGGCCTGTAATTTTTAGGAATAACGCACTGATATCTGTCCGAACAAGAGTCTAGTAAACATTCCGGGTATGTTACAATTTGAAACACAAAATCATAAATTATAATTTAATAAATAATCATAAAAAATAATAATATAATAATTATACATTTAATTCAATAATATAATCAAACCCAAAACACTGAAATTTGAAATATAGCGCCAAGTTCGCACATCACTGAGCAAAGTCGCAGAATCGTTTTCAGTGTCTGATGACGAATTTCCCCACGAATCATTATCACTCAATTCTGCAAGTGGTTCTAATTTACTATCGCTGTTCTTTAGCTGGTCTAAAACCGCTTTTGACATAAAGGGACGCTTTTTGGACGCCATGGACGTTTCTCAGTTTCCAGGCAGAAAGAACAGTAAAAATGCAGGCAGGGCACAGGACAAAGCACTAGGGACAAAATGTATGTGAAATGGTTTGATACAGTAATGTTTTACTATGTGATTTTAGTGAACGTCACTTTTTGTCATTTTCAAATTTCCCGCTGTTCTGTCCCCGTACGTCCCGACGTCGCAGGGAACGGAACCCAGATGACAGATGCCGGCATCCGCCGGATTACATTACCGGGGACGCTGCAGGGGGGACATAGCGGGAGCGCAGGACAAGGTAAGAGAAGAATAGATCCCGGAGCAGCTCAGCAGGGTATTCCCGAGTGTAGCTCAGAGTTACCACTTGTGGTACTGAAACTTTACCCCGAGCTACACTTGGGAATACCACCAGGGAGGCTACCAACCAGCTACTTACTGCGACAAATTACTGCATGAAAATATGTGGTAATTACTGCAAAACAGATATTTTACCACAAGAGTTATTTACAGCAAAATTCTTAGTGAATTGCACATTTGCAAAAAAATTACTGCATGCGTTATTTTACCACATTTTTTCAGTTGCTATTTAACTCTTAGTGGATTGACCCTTTAGCAGTTTATATTTACAAAAAAAAAAATAGCATTTCCATGTTGTGTGTACTGTGGGAGACCAGATATAGTGAATGCAGGGTCCGGGGTTTAGTAACACTATTTAAAGTGTTACTAACCAGCCATGGGTCATTTAGATATTGGATCTCAGTCTAACAATATTCATTTAAATCTTATTTAAAAGCAAATTAGCTCATAGTCAGCTTGTCATTACACAAAATAATCAGAATCATGAATAATCTAATAAACTCTCAATATCTGAATATATAAAAATAACAAAATTTGCTGTCTATCACATTAAAGATTCATCATAAGTGGAGATAGGTTGTGCTGCAGACTATTCCCAGGTTGCAGCTTCTGACTCATCCAAGCAGGCAGCTACTGAGAACCAAGGGCTGATTAGCAGGTAAAAGTCCCTTGCACCACTGAAGAGCTGGGATTGCGGGGCTGTGAGTAGTATAGCCACAGCTGGCAGCAGTGTTAATTTTGAGGTCAAATTTCAATTTAGTTTTAGTTATAATCTTTTGACTAAAATGCTGTTTTAATTTTAGTCGTATTTTAGTCATCTGAACTGTTTTAGTTTCAGTTGTGTTTTAATGAACTAAAATCTTCAGTAAATTTTAATGGATTTAGTTACATAGTCTGGCTGAAAAAAAGACAAAAGTACATCCAGTTCAACTATTAAAAAAAAAAAAAAAAAAAAGTTATAATCCTAAACCCACAGTTGATCCAGAGGAAGGCAAAAAAACCCCCAGCAAAGCATGATCCAATTTGCTCCTGTAGGGGAAAAGAATTCCTTCCTGATCCCCCGAGAGGCAATCGGATATTCACTGGATCAGCTTTACCTATAAATGTTAGTATCCAGTTATATTCTGTGTATCTAAGAAACAATTCAGGCCTTTTATAAAGCAATCCACTGAGCTGGCCAGAACCAACTCTTGAGGGAGTCTATTTCACATTTTTACAGCTCTCACTGTGAAGAAACCTTTCCGTGTCTGGAGATTCAATTTATTTTCCTCCAGATGTATTTAAATTGTAATGTATTATTTAAACATTTCTCTAGAATTTCCAAACTGATTATATACTGCTGAAGTAAAAATCTAACAAAATGTTATTATTTATGGTGTTAACGTTTGAACATGCACAACAGACACAGATTTAGCTGTTGTGATATACAAGGTCTTTATGAATAAATCCAAGTTTCATAAACAGGTGGGTAAATGTCCCTCCCTCATTGTGGATTAACAAAGTAGTTGTTCAGGTTCAGGACAGGTTTAGATGTGGCGCAGGACAGGAATTTTGATACAGCTGCCAATTCTGTGACTAGAGACCAAACCATGCTGAAACTGTGTTCAGAACTGATGACATGTGCAATTCAGAAGGTTCCTATAGAAGTCAATGAGCCTGTAATTCTGAACCAGACCCCACTGCTCAGAAAATCATGCTGAATTTGCATCGCAGGTGCCCCGCATATATGTGAACAGGCACAATAGAAACCAATGTTCTTTCACATGTCATGCAAATTGTATGCAGTTCAAAATGCATCCAATTTACATATACTGTATGTGAACCAGCCCTCATTTTCATTTAGTTTTAGCTTGACAAAAATTGGAATTGATTTTCATTATAGTTTTCATCACTGAAAACATGCCACTGACAAACATTATGACAAAAATATTTTCGTCTATGAAATTAACACTGGCTGACAGAAGTGCATGGAAACACGCAGAAGCATGGGAAAAGGGTAGTGGTACACATGTTAGAGGGGCTTTGCTACTGGCTAGTAATGATGACGCCAAGAGCACAAGTCCCTACCCCCACTCCTGTCCTGCTAGAACACTGCGCCTTCTTCTGAGGCTGAATCCTCTGCCATACTGAACCCCACTCCATGCCATAGGCCTCCACACGACATTCCCGACCATTTACCTTTATATCCCAATGAAATAATGTCCACACAAATGTGTACATGGAATTCAGGGAATGGCATAACAGTTACATCACATTGGCATACATTCTAGAGTCAGATGACAATCACATTTAGTGGATGGGCTGCAGTAGTCACAAGTGAAAGCATATGCAGCACTTTAATCAGCTGTCTTCCTCTAACAATCTCTTTCTTCCACCAGGGGTCATTAGTACTCACAGAACTGAGCTCTCTGTAGACACCTTCTTCATAGGTACACCTCTCCCAGGATCCTCTGAGGGAATAGCCTCACTCAAGGCTTCGCCTGGCATAAAATACTTTTTTGCAGTCCACCTTAGCCCCCACTCCATAAGGGTCAGAAAGGCTACAGTTGGCTCTCAGTGGTGCAGGTCTACTCCTCTCTGGCATCCTGCCTTGTACAGGGCCTCCAGGCCATCTGTGCTGATGTGGAGCACTTGGCTCCCATGCCCCAAATGCATCTAGGACTCCTCTCAACCTGGCTCATATGTGCATGCTACCTCCCCTATGACATCACTGCAGAAGAGCTCCACCTAAAATGGGTCCAGCACCTGATGACACTGTCTGCTGTAAACAGACACTATTTTGCTATAGAGCCACCTAGTGGCAAACTAGCTAACTGCACCTGCCTACACACAGGATCACTAGGAGTGAGTAGTAATGCAAAAAAGGAATTACTAGGAGCAGGCAGACATGCATAAGGACATAGTGCAGGAAACAGGGTAGGAATATACAAAAAGACACTGAAGCAGATTGAAAACATGGTGCCAATAACAAAAGGCAGGTTCTTACTCACAGAGGATCACAGAGGTACCAGAAGGCCAAAAGCTGGCAAAGTTACACAAGGGAAAATAGAGGCACAAGTACACTGGAATGCTCAGAGAATACGACAGGTGCAAAGATGCAGGTTGCAGGCAGGAGCACACAGAGTCACTGAGGGTAGGCTGGATTACACAGGGAATACTAGGGTTACAGATACAGTTGTGTTCAAAGTAATAGCAGTGTGTTTTAAAAAAGTGAGTAAAGCTCAAAATCCTTATAATAGCTTTTATTTCCATACATGCAAAATCATTGGGAACATTGCACAGTCTATTGCAAATGAAAACATGAAGAACAATGTTTCAAATTTGCTATTACTTTACAGAAAGGGAAGAAAAAGGAATATTAGGCTGTTCAAAAAAATAGCAGATTTAGCTTTCCTGTGAATCACTGAACTAATATTTAATTGTATAACCACTGTACCATACCTCATCTGGAATATGCAGTTCAGTTTTGGGCAACAATTCACAAAAAGAACATTGGGGAACTGGAGAAAGTACAGAGAAGGGCAACCAAACTGATAAGAGGCATGGAGGAGCTCAGCTATGAGGAAAGATTAGAGGAACTCAATTTACTCTCTCTTGAAAAGAGGAGATAAAGGGGGGATATGATCAACATGTATAAATACATCAGTGGTTCATATAGTGAACTCGGTGCAGAGTTATTCACCCTGAGGTCATCACAGAGGACAAGGGGGTACTCTTTACGTCTGGAGGAAAAGAAATTTAATCTCCAAACACAGAAAGGTTTCTTCACAGTAAGAGCTGTGAAAATGTGGAATAGACTCCCTCAAGAGTTGGTTCTGGCCAGCTCAGTGGATTGCTTTAAAAAAGGCCTGGATTCTTTCTTAGATACACAGAATATAACTGGATACTAACATTTATAGGTAAAGTTGATCCAAGGAATATCCGATTGCCTTTCGGGGGATCAGGAAGGAGTTTTTTTTCCCTGCAGGAGCAAATTGGATCATGCTTTGCTGGGGTTTTTTTGCCTTCCTCTGGATCAACTGTGGGTATAGGATTATAACTTTTTGTTTGTTTTAATGGTTGAACTGGATGGACTTTTGTCTTTTTTCTGCCAGATTAACTATGTAACTATGTTTCTGATAACTGCTGTACATCTGTGTTGCATGGAGTTGACCAAATTCTGGCACCTGTGAACAGGTATTCCAGACCAGAACGACTGCACTACATTCCACAGTTCCTCTGCATTTTTTTGTTTTACCTCAGAAACAGCATTTTTGATGTCACCCCACAAGTGTTCTATTGGATTAAGATCCGGGGATTGGACTGGCCACTCCATAACGTTAATCTTGTTGGTCTGGAACCAAGATGTTGCACGTTTACTGGTGTGTTTGGGGTCGTTATCTTGTTAAAACACCCATTTCAAGGGCATTTGCTCTCGGCAAAAGGCAACATGACCTCTTCAAGTATTTTAATGTATTCTAACTAATCCATAATCCCTGGCAACGTGATGAATAGGCCCAACACCACAGTATGCGAAACATCCCAATATCATGATGCTTGCACCACCATGTTTCACTGTTTTCACAGTATACTGTGGCTTGAATTCAGTGTTTGGGGGTCGTCTGACAAACTGCCTGTGGCCCCTAGACCCAAAAAGAACAATCTTGCTTTCATCAGTCTGCAAAATGTTGCGCCATTTTTCTATAGGCCAGTCAATGTATTCTTTGGAAAATTGTAACCTCTTCAGCACATGCCATTTTTTCAACAATGGGACTTTGCGGAGGCTTCTTGCCTATAGCTTGGGTTCACATAGGCATCTTCTAATTGTAACAGTACTCACAGGTAACCTTAGACTTACTTTGATCTTCCTGGAGCTGATCATTGGCTGAGTCTTTGCCATTATGGCTATTCTTCGACACATTAGAATGGTAATTTTCCATTTTCTTCCACATCTTTCAGGTTTTGGTTGCCATTTTAAAGCATTTGAGATCATTTTAGCTGAGCAGCCTATTAGTTTCTGCACTTCTTTATGTTTTCCCCTCTCCAATCAACTTTTTCATCAAGGTACGCTGTTCTTCTGAACA